TCAAAGCGGGGAATGATGTAGCAGGGAAGAGGACCAGAAAAGAAACAGACAGGCTGTGTTCTGATGATAAGGCAGGGAGAAGGGATGGCAAAGCAGAGAGATAAAACTTAAAAGAATTGAAATGTGAAGAAGGTCACATAGCACTGGAGAAATGAAATAGCCAATAAAGTCACATACAGTCATATGTGGATTAAGCTTTGCTTTTTGCTTCTGTAGCCTGCTTGCAGGGGTATAGAAGGTGAGATCTCTTTGTTCTCTGGGCTCAGCCTTTGGACACAAGTGTGCTGGGACTGTGTCAGCACAACAAAATGTTGCTTCCTGCTAAACTGCCTCAGGGTCCTGTATCTCAGCTTGAGATTCCTGCAACAATTTTAATATGTTTCAAGACATAGAGCCACACCAAACCTCTGATTTCATGTTATATTGGATTTTTGGTTATAAGCAACAGAATAAGATTAGCTGTTTTATTGTTTAATTAACTTATTAATAGACAATTATTTGAAAGGACAAGAGACCTCAGAGTCAAGGAGGGCTAGGGAATGTAGCTTAATGGTAGAGTGATTGCATATATATATATACATATACATATACGTATATGTATATGTATATATATATATACATATACATATACGTATATATATACATATATATGTGTATATATATACATATATACGTATATATATATATATATATATATATATATATATGTAAAATACAGTGATCATATCATTTTGGGCTCACCATTCAGCCCACTACAAGACAATTTTTAAACAAAAAGAGAAAAACTTAGATGTGCCAGGGCACTTTTGCTCATTACATATAGATTTGATCTTAGTTAGAGGCATACAATGATTTATGCAACCTTTTGTTTACTCAGAGACAATGAAGATGTTTGCAACTTTTGCCACTACAAACAATTCTGTAATACATAGTGTCTGACTTATTTTTTTTGTCTTTTTTAAAAATTTTTTTATTATTCATATGTGCATTCAATGCTTGGGTCATTTCTCCTCCCTCCCCAACCCCTCTCCTTACACACACCCCGCCCCTTCCCTCTCTCCCCCCACCCCCTCAATACCCGGCAGAAACTGTTTTGCCCATATCTCTAATTTTGTTGAGGAGAGAGTATAAGCAATAGTAGGAAGGAACAAGGGTTTTTGCTAGTTGAGATAAGGATAGCTCTACAGGGAGTTGACTCACGTTCATTTCCTGTGCATGTGTGTTACCTTCTAGGTTAATTCTTCTTGAACTAACCTTTTCTCTAGTTCCTGGTCCCCTTTTTCTATTGGCCTCAGTTGCTTTTAAGGTGTCTGCTTTAGTTTCTCTGCGTTGAGGGCAACCAATGTTATCTAGTTTTTTAGGTGTCTTACCTATCCTCATATCTCCCTTGTGTGCTCTAGTTTTCATCTTGTGATCAAAGTCCAATCCCCTTGTTGTGTTTGCCCTTGATCTAATGTCCGAATGTGAGGGAGAACATGATTTTTGGTCTTTTGGGCCAGGCTAACCTCACTCAGAATGATGTTCTCCAATTCCATCCATTTACCAGCGAATGATAACATTTCGTTCTTCTTCATGGCTGCATAAAATTCCATTGTGTATAGATACCACATTTTCTTGATCCATTCATGTCAGACTTATTTTTATAAGAATGGATTTTAAGGGCTGGGATGTAGCTCAGTGATAGAGCACTTGCCCTGGGTTCAATCCCAGCACCAAAAAAGAAAAGATAAAAACAACAAAAAAAACGAGTTCCCCCCAAAGAATGGATTTTAAAGGCATGAGGCCCTGAGTTCATCCCCAGCACCACAAAAAAAAAAAAAAAAAAAAAAGAATGGACTTAAAAATTTTTTATTTTAAGTTCTTGGAGGTATACTTTAATTTTTAAAAGAATTAGGGTTTTGTTATGCTCCATAGCAGCAAGAACAGATGCTTAAAGGTAGTGGGATTCCTGTTCTGTTTTGTTTGTTTTATTTCATCTTAGTACTGTACTTGAAACCAGGGCCTTGGGCTTAAGCACACTACCACTCGCACTACACCCTAGCCTTTTACTTTTGAAACAGGATATGGCAAACCTTTGCTTATGCTGGCTTCCTGCCTCTGCTTCTGGAGTAGCTGATATTATAGGCATGAACTATCACACTTGCCTGTGGGCTTCCCGTTTTAATCTTTACTTTTCATCTACTGAGTATCCCTTCTTTTGTCCATACTCTTGCAAATATCACATTATTTATCTCGAATACTTTTTGCCAATCTGAGTGGAAAACGGTGTCTTTGTTTTTAATTTGCTGTGACTTTTCTTTTTTGGCAGTACTGGGGTTTGAACGTACAGCTTCATACTTGCTAGGCAGGCTCTCAACTATTTGAGCCACACCTTCAGCCCATTTTGATTTGATTTTTTTTTGGAGATGGGGTCTGGTGAACTGCTTGCCAGGCTGGACTCAAACTTTGATCCTAACCAATCTCAAGCTCTCAAGTAGCTAGGATTATAGGCGTGAGCCACTAGTACCTGTCATAATTTTAAATTTCTTGACTTCAGAGGTTGAGCCATTAAGATTTATTTATTTATTTTCAGTGTCTCACCATGTAGTGCAGGATTGTCTCCCACCTCAGCCTTCCTAAGTGCTGGGATTATAGGTGTGTACCATCATACCTGGCTTAGATTTTCTTTTCTGTGGACTGTCCAGGTTTTTTTTTTTTTAATTGTATTTAATTTTCACATATAGGTATTACTGTTGCCCATTTTTGCAAAGGAATTGAAATTTTTTAGTTAAGTAATTTCCTCTAGATCATCCAGTAAGTGGTAGGTTCAGGATATGAACTCATGATGAGTGCAGAGTTAGGTGTATTTTCTTATTTATTGGCCATTTTGTTTTATCTACAGCTGGTTCATGCCTTTGGTCATGCATGCTTGTATTCCAAGCTACGGAAGCTGAAGGTAGGAGAATTGCAGGTACCACAGGAGGCCCTATCTGAAAAAAAAAAAAGAAAGCAAAAGATTCAAAGTATGAATCAAGTGGTGATAGAGTACTTGTCTAGCACAGAGAGGCCTTGAGTTCCAACCTCAGTGATAAGGGAGATTTGGGTGACACCAGAAAGACTCCACTTAACCTTGCTGGTTTAGGTGTTTAGTGAGAGGGAGGAACAGCATTCCAGGTTGTTGTCTCACAAAGTCAAAGAATGAACTTCACCGACAACGAAGGGTGAGCATAGAGGTAGGAAATTTTATTAAGCAAAAGAATGAAAGGACCACTGTGGGAGTGGTCCTGAGTGAGTTGCCAGCAATTCTGTGGTATTTAGGGGTTTTTCTTCACCAGAGTAAGGTGTTACCCAATTTCATATGCTAACTAGGTATTGAACTAATGTTATTGGTTCCTTTTATAGTCATGCCCTGAGTGAACAATAGGGTTTGGAAGAGGTTAGTTCTCAGATGCCCAGCATCACCCTACAACTGCTTCTCCTCCTGCCCCCTGCCTCCTCTTCTATGTAAGTCAGCCTTAGGTCATCTTGTTTTGCTGCCCAGTTCTGGAATATTTGCTTTATGGTGAGACAGGAGTGAAAAGCATTGTGTGACTGTCTTCCTTTGTTTTATTGTGTTGATGCTCAGTTAGTTATTGGACCTTTCCCCCACCTGCTTATCATGTTTCTGACTCCTAATCTCTCACCAGTACCAGAAAAAAAATTACTAGAAAAGATTTGGAAGTATAGATACTAACCTAATGTTAAAGTTGAGCAGAGTCTGAAGGCATGAATTCTATTTGGATTCCAGGGAGCTGTGTAAGGCACTAAGCTTAAGCCTTAGTGCTATTGGATGGGTGGTCTAAGGAGATTCCAGACATAAGATTTCAGGTACTTCTGTCCCACAAAAGAATTCAGGCAGGACACAAAACTGTAATGAAAGTGCTAGTAAAGTTTATTGAAAGTGAGGGGAAGGCACCACCAGAGAAAGCGCTGGGTTCCAGCCAGTTGGCATAGAAGTGCAGAGCTTTCATTTACAGGAAAATTCTGGGTGGTCAAGGCAGGATGGACTAGGCTGACTGACAGGTTTGACAAGGTCTTGTCATGCAACACTGCGGCACTATGGGCATGCATTTACACTCACTTTCTGATATTTTAATGACATGTATGAAGTGTGGTCAACATTCATGTTTTAAGTAGAGGGCTTTACCTGAGAGGTAATCAAGGGCGGAATCCCCCAAGGCTTCCTGTATTTGGGGAAATTTACAACTGCAAAGGAAAAGGACTAAGATTTTACAACTGAAATTTACAACTGTAAAGCATGGCATGGTGCTGAGGCCAAGCGGGGTTTAACATGAAATGCACTGAGAAAAAGTCTCATGGCGCTAGAGTTCCATGCAATTTTCCTTTTCCTATCAGTAGCCTGCCTCTCTGGCGCCTCGGTTTCCTTTGTGTGTGGATGTGGGTGTGGGTGTGTGACGGGGTGTCCCTATGTAGCAAGGGCTGGCCCGGAACTCTTGATCCTCCTGCCTCAATCACCTGGGTGCCGGGATCACAGATGTGTATCACCACACCCACCCTTTCGCATTTTTAAAATAGGAATGATGGTCCCTAATTCATGGGTTATTGTAAGAACTAAATTTTTAAAAATACATTAAACTCTTTACGGAACTTTTAAAAATGGTGAGTATATTACTGGCCAACTCTAGAATAATGGCTATTGTATTATTTTTATTCCTATATCTTTTAACCCTTAATTTCTAAATTACCTGCAATTAGCATTTTCTAAAAAATGCATTGCTAAAAAAACTAATGAAATTGCTTTACGAAAGTACAACAAAGCGAAATCAAACGATCAACAGAAAACTAGAAAAAGAAAAAAATCAAAGTCACCAAGTTGAGCCTACGGCAACCATCGACAGAAAGCGTGCGGGATACTCAGGCCGCCTTTGCGGCCACCGTACCCTTCCGGACCCAGCAGCCCCCGGGCAGCGGAAGTCGTCATTCGGGCGGCGGAAGTCGTCACTCCGGCGACGGAGCCCACGCCGTGCATCCCGCAGCAGGCTCGTCATGGCGATGGGTAGCGGCGGCGGCGGCGGCGGTGGCTCGGAGCCAGAAGAGTCAGTGCTGTTCCGTCGCGGCACTGGCCAGGTGAGGCCGCGGTACGCGCAGCGGCTCGCTGTGGGGCTGCGGACGTTGTGTCTGCATCTTGTCGCTGCATCTTGTCCCCATCCGCTCTCCCTGAGTCCCGGCCGCAAGCTCCTTCTGCTGCCTTTTGGGTCTCCGTGGCTGTGAGCTCCGGCCATTGGTCAGATGACGTGTACACGCTTCTTTGCCTGTGGCGGATGTGCGGACCCGGGTAGGGTGAGACAGGAGACCAGCTAGGAGGCTATTGAAGCCATCCGTACTTAGGTGAAGGTGTTAGCCGTAGATCTAAAGTGTTGGGGTTCTGGATGTACTTTGTAGTTAGGGATATGGGATGTTGCAGACCGATTCAGAAACCTCGCAAAGGCTTTAGAAAAGTCGAGGAGAACTCTAAGGTTGTCCTGAACCGTTGAAAATAATAAGCTTTCTCCCTCCTTTCCTCTCTTCTCTCTCTCCTCCCCTTCCTTCCTTCCCTCCTTCCCTCCCTTCCTCTCTCTTCTTCCTTTCCTCCCTCCTTCCCTCCCTCCCTTCTTCCTTCCTTCCCTCCTTCCCTCCCTAAGGCCTTGAGCCTGCTTGTGGCGTTTTTTGTTTGTTTTACGGATTCTTGCCTTTCTGTTACTGAAAGAAGCAAGGTCATCACTTAGGTGGGAAGAGGGGGAGGAGATATTGGAGGTTTGTAAGGAGACAGAGAATAAGGAAGGCTGCAAATAAAATCACATTTTTAAGAGAAAAGATCCAAGTTGGGCACGTCTGTAGTCACTACCAGCTACTAGAGAGGCTAAGGCAGGAGGTTCGTGAATTAGAGGCTAGCCTGAGCAACAAAGCAAGACCCTGTCTAAAAAAAAAATAAAATAAAAATAGAGGGACCATCAGGAGTCCAATCTTGAGTATGCCATGGTGGATGTGAAATCTGATTGAATTTGAGTGTCAAAGAAGAATTCAGGGAACCGTTTTTAAACAGATATTTCAAGGAATTTTTTTTGTCTTTTTGTTTTTTTGGCGGCATGGGGCTTGAACTCAGGGCCTCCCACTTGCTAGGAAAGATGCTCTTACAGCTTGAGCTGCTGCCAGCTCTCAAGGAGTTTTACTGCAAGTAGAAGGTAGAGAAATTAGGCAATAGATGGAAAGGCAAGTGAGTTAATGTCTTAAGTTTTTTTTTTTGTTTTAAGATGGGAGCAACATGATGCAATAAGGATAGGAAAACTAATGATGCAAGAAAGAGAAGAGAAATGTTGTTGGGGCACTGTCGTAGAGTAGGTGAGGATTGAGTTTGACCTTTGTTAGAAATGTTGATAGTTCATGTGGTAGTTACACATGTTAAGATTTGGATGAGTGGTGGCTAGAGATTATGAAAGATTTGTTGATTCTTATCTTTCTCTAAGTGAAAGAAGCAAGGTCTGCCTAGGTGGGAACATGGGGAGGAGGTGTTGGAAGCTTGAGGCCAGAGGAGATAGGAAGTAGCCCTCTAGGCAAGTGGATTAATGTTGGACTAGGGAAATTTAGTAGAAATATGGCTAGGCAACACCCCGGGCCTACTTGACATTTGTGTTCATGTTCATGAGATTAAAGAGACCAGATGTGATTGATTGTGTTGTTCTTCATCTGAGTTCAAGTGTGGGAGGGCAGGCATAGAATAAACCAAGAGTTGTAGTTTTTACCATGTAGATATGAAGGAATGAGGGGAGAGGTACTCATGATATATCTCCATGGTTGGCCATGGAACTTAGGCCAGCTCTGAAAGGAAGTGAGGACATTAAGATCCAGAGAAACAGTTTAAAGCCTGTTTTAATTTATCACCAGTCTCAGTGAATGGGGTTGTCATCATCAAGCTAACTTGCAGAGCCTAGAAGGTGGTGATTAGTGGGATTCATTTTTTGTTTTGTTTTTTTGAGACAAGGTGTTGGTATGTAAGATGGCCTAGAACTCCCTGTATAGTGCTGGCTGGCCAAGAACTCTGCCTTCTGAGAGTGGGATTGTGGTTTTGTTTTTTCCCCTTCGATACTAAGGATTGAACTCAGGGCTCATGCATGCTAGGGAAGTCTTCTAACCACATCTCCAGTCCTGGTATTTGTTTTGTTTTCAGACGGCCTCTTGCCTTGTACCCTACTCTGGCTTCAAATTTGTGATCATCCTGTCTTAGCCTCCTGAGTGGCTGGGATTAATGCCTGGCCATATTTTTTCCATGCCTGGCACTTTTTTTTTTTAGACAGGGTCTTGCTATTTAGTCCAAGCTGGCCTCAAATAAGTGCTAGGATTATAGACATGTATTATTACACCTGGTTTAAACTTGTTTACTTATTTATTTAGATCAGGCTTGGGTTTGAACTTCAGGCTTTATACCTGTGAAGCAGGCACTCTATCCCGAGCCACTTTTCCAGTCCATTTTTCTCTGATTATTTTGGAGATGGGATCTCATTAACTACTTACCTAAACTAGCCTTGAACTGCAAACCTCCTGATCTCAGCCTCCCAAGTAGCTAGGGTTACAGGTATGAACCATCAGTGCCCTTCTGAGAGTGGGATCCTTGAAACTGAATTTATGAAGAGGTTGTAGTTACTGGTTATAATAAATAAAGAGCACAGAAGAAGTGCGTCCACTTGGGGTACTCCACATTGTTAGTGAGAGTAGTTTAAACACTTGCAAGGATGGGCTGTTGGAATGATCATCTACATTGCCAAGAGTTACGGGAGGAGTAGTATGGCTCACTCGAGCACAGTGGAAGTTTTAGGAGTTGAGAGAGTTGGAGTGCTAGGGTGACTGAGAGTCACATATAAACAAAGGCAGTCCTGATGGTCTGTTCTAGTTGTTATTGCTGTGTGAGAATCACCCAAAACTTCATGGCTTGAAACAACAGTGATCCTTTTTTTTTTCTTTCTCATTTCTGTTGATCATTTTGTGAGAACCTTGCTGGGGTGCTGTTGGTCTGGGCTCTCATGTGGTCGCATCCACATCATCACTGGAGCTATAGTAGCTGGGGACGAGTAGCTAAGGGCATCTCTTCATGTAGTCCCAGAATTTCGTCTTGTGGGTTCATTGTGTAGACTGATTTCAATTTCCAAATCGAAGGCATGATTGCCTTGGAGCATTCAAATCCTTTCCTCCTATTTCTCCTTGTCCTTTACCTCCCAGATAACCACCAATTCACTTTCTGTCATCCTGTCACATAGACTAGTCTGCATTTTCCAGAATTTTATAAACATGGACTTGTGTGTGTCTATATGTGTGTGTGTCTGTGTGTCTGTCTTGACTGGGAACTCAGGAACTCATTCATGTTCTCTCACTAAGTTACATGTGCTCTGATGCTTGAGCCACCTTCTGGGCCCCCCTCCCCTTTTTTCTTTTTTTTTTTTTAATTTTGAAACAGGGTCTTGCTAAATTGGCCAGGCTGGCCTTGAACTTGTAATCCTTCTACCTCAGCCTCCAAAGTAGCTGGAGTTACAGGCATGCAACACCATGTCTAACTGTACAGTATCTCTTTTTTTTTTTTTTTTTTGGTGGGACTGTGGTTTGAACTCAGGGCTTCACACTTGCAGAGCAGGCCCTTTACTTCTTGAGGCACACCTCCTGCAGTCTGTAGTGTCTTTTATGTCTGGCTTTTTCATTTAGCATAGTCATTTTGAGTTTCATCTATTTTGTGTTTCACAATTGTTTGTTCCCTTTTGTTGCTGAGTAGTATCCCATTGCATGTGTGTACTACACTTTATCTGTTTGCTTGTTCATGAACATTTGGTTTCTTTCCAGTTTGGAGCTGTTGTAAATAGAAGGGCTATGAGTACTAGTGTGTAAACCTTTGGAGGGTAAATACTGAAGTCATGGTGTATAGATACATATTTGACATTGTGTTCAGCAGTGTACGAAGGTTCCATTTCCTCCATATGTTGGCAAGCATTCAGTATAGTCAGTCTTTCTCATTTTAAATGCAGTACTGGGTGTGTAGTGGCACCTGTGGTTTTTAACTAGCATTCCCCTAATGTTTATTGGTCATTAGTCCTTATGATCATGCTTATTTGCATCCATATATCATCTCTGGTCAAGTGTTTGCCCTTTTTAAAAATGTTGGAGATTGAGACTTCTTCATATTTACTTGATTCTGTCTGCTTTATGCTGTTGGTACTAATACACTTTTTTTTTTTTTTTTGTAGTACTGGGGTTTCAGTTCAGGGCCTTTTGCTCACTAGGCACTCACTCTACCACTTGAACCCCACCTCTAGCCTTTTTGCTTTAGTTATTTTGCAGATAGGCTATTGTGCTTTTTGCTTGGGGCCAACCTTGGACTGTGATCCTACCCATGCTTCTCTTGTAGCTCAGATTATGGCATGCATACCATGCCTTCCTTGTTTTTGTTGAGATGGGGTTTTGCTAACTTCTGGCCCAGGCTAGCCTTGAACTGTGATCTTCCGGATCAGCTGGGATTGCAGGCATGAGCCACTGGGCCTAGTCTACTTGATTGATTGATTGATTAATTGGTGATTCCAGAGTTTGAACTCAGGGCTTTGTGTTTGCTAGACAAGTACTCTGCCACTTGAGTCATGACCCTAGCCTTAATATACTTTTTTTTGTGTTTGGTAGGTCTGGAGGTTTGAACTCAGGGCTTCCTGCTTAAAAAGCAGGTGTTCTACCTCTTGAGACACCTCTAGTCCCTTATAAACATTTTTGATGAACCCTATCTGAACATAAATGGTTTTTATTCTTTTTCCTTCCCAGAGTGATGATTCTGACATTTGGGATGATACAGCATTGATAAAAGCTTATGATAAAGCTGTGGCTTCCTTTAAGGTATGAAATGTTTAATCATTCTCTATTTCCTCATATTACTCATTTGGAAAAAAATTCATTGATAACATGCTTACAGTAAAGCGTTAAAGTACTTGTTTAGCTTTCATAGTGAAGTTTAGGTTAGTTAAATCAGATGATGTCTTTAGAAGTTAATAGTTTACATTTCATCTCTGTTACAGAGGCAATTTAAATAAAAAAACTTATACATTTATTCCTTTTAGTATTTTTACATTGTTCCAAACTATAGAAGACTTGTTCAGATTAATAGAAAAAAGGCATTCTGAGTTATTTTTTTTTTGGGGGGGGGTGCTGGATAGAACACTGGGGTTTGTTTTTTGTGCATACTAGACTGAGCTACATCCCACCTCTGAATTACAATTCTAAACACTTAACAAGCCTTTAGTGAAATGACTATGATAATAAATAATAGTGCAATAATTAGTGCTTGTAGAGGGTTGACAATGTTCTAGGTACTGCTCTTTCTGTTTACATGTATTAAATGAGTTTCTTGATGCTGGAGATTGAACCCAGGGCCTGGCACATGTTAGACAAATGTCTCTACCACTGAGCTACATTCCCAGCCCCAGTTAGGTTTATTTAATCTTTCCAAATCCTAAGAGTTGGGTGTTAAACATTCTGATAGTAAGAATACTCACTTCTTTTAGGAGATGTCATCTGCTTTTGTGGCTCAAACAAGACATTTATCCACTTTCTCCACTGTCTGAATATGTTGTCTTACTGAGCATGGAGGGCCCATCAGTTGTCCAGGCTAGTATGAGCATAAATAGCAAACACTCAGGCAAAACACCTAGCACACAAAATCCACTTCCTTCCTGTAGTCACTATTGTACCATGAAGTAATGATCAGATATTTGTATCATCTTTACAGCTGAATTCTAGTTGTTGTTGTTTTGGGGTTTGTTTTTTGTTTGTTTGGTTGTTTTTTTGGTGGTACTGGGGTTTGAACTCAGGCCTTCACGCTTGCTAAGCAGGCGTTCTACCTCTTAAGCTATTCTCACCAGCCCCTGAGTTCTAGATTTTTAAATATGCTTTCCATCATACAGTGAAACTATAAGTCATCTAAGAGGGTTTATCAAGACAGTTGTGTGTGAGATAGGGTTTGCAAAGGAAAGTAGTCTGAGTAAAGGAAGAAAAGAATTGGTTTGGGGAAAAGATAGTTTAATTTTAGTTGTGTTGAGTTTAAGGGTAAAGATATGAATTGGGAGCAGAGAATGGTCCATAAAACTCTGATACCAGCTCTTTGGAAGGCGGAGATAGGACTTCTGAGACTGGCTTGGTAGAGGACTTATTAAGTGTGAAGTCCTGGTTTCAAGCTCCAGGACTGGGGGGAAAATGGTTTGTATATGCTGGATCAAACTGAGAAAATTCAGAGCTGTTTAGTAGCTTTGGAAGTCTGTTTTTGGAGACGTAATTGAAGTAATAGGAATAGAAGCACTTAAGCAGGTAATGATGGCCAACTCTTGTGAGAATGCCACGTGCTGGACTTGGTCAGAGGAGTAATAAAAACCTTGGGGCATTGTGTTGTGTCATCCAAGGTGCCATGAATATGAAGAAGGAAGAGGTGGTGGACAGACTGCTGTTGCAGGGTGGTGGACAAACTGCTGTTGCAGGGAGGTGGACAGCATGGAGACCTAATTAAAGGGGCCTTTATAGTTGATAATCAAGTACAAGATGCTTTCAAGAGCAGTTCCCAGTTCCTGGGATAGTGAAGAGAGAAGTAGAGTAGAGGCTTTCTGAGGTGATAGGGTCATGATACCAGCTTACGCAGTAACTAAGTTAATGTTGTGACTTTTTTTTTTTGATGGGACTGGGGCTTCACTCTTGCAAAACAGGCTTTCTACTCACCTCCAGTCCATTTTGCTGTGGTTATTTTATTTTCATTATTTATTATTGGCAGCACTGTGTTTGAACTCAGGGCCCAAGCATTCTTTCCTCTTGAGCTGCTTCCACTGTGGTTATTTTAGAGATGGACTCTCACAAACTATTTTTCCTGGCTGGCTTCAAACCGTGAGCCTCCAGATCTGAGCCTCCCAAATACCTAGGATTATAGGCGTAAGCCACCAGTGCCCTAGTTACTATGACCTTTCTTTTTTTTTCCTCTCTCGAAGTTTTAGCAAGAATTTGTTTTAGTATAACAAGATAATATATAGACCGGGAAGGGGGGACGAAAGAGAGAAACATTTCCTGTTCCCCACATAGGAAGTGGGAACAAAGACTCCTACTGTGACTTTTTTTAATGCATCGTTGCATAACATATATTTTCATTCTGTCTTCGTAGCATGCTCTAAAGAATGGTGATATTTGTGAAACTTCAGATAAACCAAAAGGTACACCTAGAAGAAAACCCATTAAGAAGAATAAAAGCCAAAAGAAGAATAGCACAACTCCCTTGAAACAGGTTATATTTTTAATTTTAATTTAAAAAAAAGTGGGGAGGGTGTGCTGGGGTTTGAACTTGGGGCTTCATGCTTGCAAGGCAGGTGCTGTACCACTTGAGCCACTCCACCAGCCCTGTCTTATGTTGGATATTTTCCAGATAGGGTCTTGAAAACTATTTGCTGGGCTGTCTTGGAACTTTGATCCTCCTGATCTCTGCCTTCTAAGTAGCTAGGATTGATTACAGGTGTGAGACACCAGTGCCCAGCTTTTTTTTTTTTTTGGCGTATGAAGGAAAGTAGTCTGAATTGGGTTGTAAGGCCCTGCGTTGGGGTGCCTCACCTCAGCATTGAACTCACTCTTACTTGGCCAGAGTGAGTTCCAGCGAGAGAGACATTTGCCAACCCGTTCCCTTCACGGGCAGGTCCACAGCATCTCCTTCCTAGTCTGCCCTCACTGTGGAGTCCTGGTCTCTGGGAATAGATCTCCACAAGACTCGGAGGGCCCTGCTAGGGACTGCTCTTGGGCCTAGTCTCAGACCTTTCTGGGGGATATGTATGGAGTGAAGTGAGTCACTCAGCTTGTGGTCCCACTGATGTGCTTCCTTCCACCCCCGAAGCTAAATATTTTCATGTCTCATTAACTTTAGTTTCATCATAACATCTGATGAGCACTTTCTTTGTGTCAGGTCAGAGTACAGCTTTCCTCATCTGTCACAATAAATGGGGGTGGGTTATAGCCATTTGACAAGTGGGAAAAAGGAGACTTAAGAAAATTTTTTCACTATATAATTCTACCTTCCAGTTAATTGAAGACTACCCCTCTACCCTTCACCCCTCCCCCATCCAAATAAGATAATAGTTTGCTCTCTGTAAAAGAAACTGTGTGCATGTATATATCTTTGTTTTTGTAGTGGAAAGTTGGTGACAAATGTTCTGCCATTTGGTCAGAAGACGGCTGCATTTACCCAGCTACCATTGCTTCAGTTGATTTTAAGAGAGGAACCTGTGTTGTGATTTATACTGGATACGGAAATAGAGAAGAGCAAAATCTGTCTGATCTACTTTCTACTTGCCCAACTTCTGAAATAGCTAATAATATAGAACAGAATGCCCAGGAGGTAAAGATGCACAACACTTGAATTCCTGGAAGCAGAAACTAGATGAGAAACAAAGCAGTATAACTGCTTTGTCAGTTTGGTCCACTGAGGCATTAAATTTTACTTTTTCTGTTTGGGGTCTTTTTTTTTTTTGGCGATACTGGGGTTTGAACTGAGGGTCTCACACTTGCTGTGCAGACACTCTACCGATGAATCCACTCTGCCAGCTATGGGCAGCTTTTTTGTTGATTGACATGAGATCTTGTGTACTTTTGCCCTTGCTGGCTTTGAACCTTGATCCTCTCAATCCCTATCTCCTGGGTAGCTAGGATTACAGGGTGTAAGGCACTGTGCCTAGCTCCAACCCTTAATGACACCTTCATAACAAAAATATGTGTATTTTTTCTTTTAAAAGAATGGAAATGAAAGTCAAGTTTCAACAGATGAAAGTGAGAACTCCGTGTCTCTGGGAAATAAGCTAAATGATAATAAATCAAAAGCTACTCCATGGAACTCATTTCTCCCTCCACCACCCCCAATGCCATCATCAGGATTGGGACCTGGAAAGGTAAATATCTTGCCTAGACTGAGACATTTAACCCCACCACTAAGTGATTAGAAGCTGTTCCATGAAACTTGTGTTCTTTTAAATATTATATATCCATGGAAGAATTCTTTGAAAAGGAAATAGGATAAGGATGCAAAATGGCTTATAATAAAAGTCTTACCAGGCTCCTTTTGTGGAGTATGAGGTATTAGACTAACAATTTAGCAAATGTATGAAAGTTAGAAAGTATAATAGTATGTCTTCAGTTGAATTTAGACTGTATTCCCCATGTCACCTGTATCAGATATGTAAAAAAAAAAAAAAAGTACAGTGTTTCCATCTAATACAATAAAATCCTGAGCAGCTCCCAGATTGTTCTGTAGAGTTAAAATGTAAACACTGTCTGCATTTTTGGCTCTTTTGGTTACTAGCAACAGAAATCAATTTTAAAAAGGTTTTTATGGTAAGCTGGGTTATGTGTGGAAGCCAAGGGTATGTCACTATCTAATTCTTTTATGTAAAGCAGTGATTTCTTCATTGGAGAGTATGGTATTCATGATAATTTTTAAAAATCAGGTGAGACTCAGTAAAACTTTCACATTTTCTGGAGGGCTTTCTTACTGAGGGTTATATTGCATTCGAGTTTTGTCTCATTGGTCTCGAGCTGATTTCTGTTAGGTGAACGGTTTGACAGTATTGATAATATGTGCTCTAAGTTAGCATGTATTAGGTAACAGTGCTACAAAAAGATCATACAATGAAAATAAAAGTACGAAAAAGATGTAATCTTTACTGATTGAAATAGCTAGCTGGTACACTGTCTCTGATATGTTAGGTAATTACACATCTTTGATAAGGAATGTTGATAAAGAGAAAAAACATTTAGAGGTTGTCATTTGAGTCTTTGACTTCAGAATTTGGTAAATGAAATTCCATTTAATCTTTTTGAGTTCTTATTTTTTTTATTTATTTTTGGAGGGACTGGGGTTTGAACTCAGGGCTCCACACTCTACTGCTTGAGCCATGTACCTGCACCTTTTTTGCCTTAGCTATTTTGTGTGTGTGTGTATTTGTGTGGTAATGTGGTTTGCACTCAGGGTCTCCTGCTTGCTAGGCAGGCACTCTACCACTTGAGCCACTCTACCAGTCCTCCATTTCATCTTTTTGATATGTGTGATACAGACACCATTGTGCGTAATTATTTGTATTTTGGTTTTGAATCCTTTCCTTTCATTGACGTTAGTAAGTTAATTTTTCTTTGAAATATTCTTTATAGCCAGGTCTAAAATTCAATGGCCCACCACCACCACCTCCACCACCACCTCCACTGCCCCACTTCCTGTCATGCTGGATGCCTCCATTTCCTTCTGGGCCACCAGTAAGTATAAAACACTTCAAATTGAATTTTGCTGGCATATGTAGTTTGGGATTGAGCATGATACTGGGGATTAGGAAATGTCTTCTTGCAGGGCAAGATGGCTCATGTCTGTAATTCCAGCTACGCAGGAGGTAGCGATCAGGAGGCCAGTCACGTTAAAAAGTTTTTGAGACACCCTCAGCAAAGTAATCCGAGCATGGTGGCACAAGCTTGTCATCCCAGCTTTATTGCAAACCGTAGGTAGGGGGATTGTGTTCAGAAGTTAGCCCTGGACATAAGGATGAAACCTTGTCTGAACGATAACCTAAAGCAAAAGGGATGGAGGAGTCACTCAAGTGGTAGAGCACTTGTCTAGCAAGTACAAGATCTTGAAGCCCCAGTACCCCGAAAAAGAAAACAAGAAAGAAAATGTTATCTTAGATTATCCCCAGAGTTAGGTTCTAATGGGTAAAAATTAAAAGTAAACCTCAGTTTTTGTTTTGAATGCCTTCTGTTACTGGATGTAGTACAGCACTCTTTTTTTTTTTTTTTTTTTAAATTCATATGTGCTAGTACAGCACTCTTATAGCCTACCTCTGAGCTCTGTTTTGGCTGCTGTTTTCCTGGGAGAAGTTGGTATGTGTTCCATGGGGAAGTAGCTCCTGTTAGAAAGGATGAAAGCTTTACTCTACAGATACACTCGGACATTAGCTTCTGATAATGTAATGATAGTTTTTGTTTTGGTGATACTGGGATTTGAACTGAGGGCCTTGAGCTTGCTAAGTAGGTGCTCTGCTTCTTGAGCCATACCCCCTAGTCTTTTTGTGCTTTAATTACTTTTTCAGGTAGGCTGTTGTATTATTTGCCTAGAGCAGACCTGATTCTCCTACCTAGGACACCCTACATAGCTGGAACTGTAGCCATTTCCCACCATGCCCAGCTCATTTGTTGAGATGGGAGGGTCTCATTAACTCTTTTTTTTTTTTTTTTTTTTTAACCTGTGCTGCCTCAAACCATGATCCTCCCAATCTCCACCTCAAGTGGCTGTGATACAGGTGTGCCACCCTATCCCTTGATAATGGTAGATATTTTAGGTACTAGCATTAGGGTTAAAAAAAAAATACTTTGTCTGTTGGGATGGGGGTTTTCTTTCGTACATTGGCCCTTCATGCTGTATGGATGATGTGTTGGTGTGTTTTAAGGGACAAAAAAGCATTATGTCTTTTGCTCATAGCTTCCTAACGGCACAACAGCAGAATTCTAGTAAATGTTTACTTTTTAAATCACCTAATATTTTTTGATACTTGTTGGTTTTAATTAGTTTTGTTGGTGCTTTGTTGTTGTTATTGGTTGACTCTCTTCAGATGTTAAATTGATTTTGCAGTCCTGGGGATTGAACTCAGGGCCTTACACATGTGAGGCAAGTGCTCTATCAGTCAAGCTATGCCTCAGCCCCACATTAATTTTTTTTTATTATTTAATAGATGCCATGGGATATAGGAAAAGACAGTGACTAACCAGCATTCTCCGTGTAAGATCAACCTCCAGAGTCCTCACTTTTGTTTACATGATTGATGTGCTTCTATCTTTCTATTTCCAGATGATCCCCCCTCCGCCTCCAGTATGTCCAGATGCTCTTGATGGCTCTGATGCTTTAGGAAGCATGCTGATCTCTTGGTACATGAGTGGCTATCACACTGGCTATTACATGGTAAGAATGCTCTGCATTCTCCCTATCCACCTTGTTGTGACTTTGGTGCTGGGGATCAAAACCAAGGCCTCATGCATGTTAGGCAAGTTAGCTCTACTGCTAACTTTACCCCTAGCCCCTGTGTGACTTTTTTGTTTTCTGACTGAAATGCTATTTGTTAATGTAGATTCTAAGAGCTGAAAAGTACCTTAAAGTTTAAAAAATAAAACTAATGGGTAAGGCTAAAGTTACTTTTGCATTGTCCCTGTTCATTGTTCCTGTTGCAGTTGTAGTTCATTAAAAAATTCTAGCCAGATGCTGGTGGCTCACACCTATAATCCTAGTTATTCAGGAGGCAGAGATCAGAACGATCGAGGTGAGGTTTAAAGCCAGCCAGGCAAATAGCGATCCTATCTCAAAAATTAACCAGCCAAAAAAAAGTGCTGGCAGAGTGGTAAAGGCCTAGCAAGCATGAGGCCATGAGTTCAAACCTCAGTGCCACCAAAAAAAAAAAAAATATATATATGTATATATATTCTTCCATGTATCAGAAGGGGTGCTTAATCCCATTACTGGGGAGGCTGCATTAGGAGGATCATGAGTTCCAGGCCAGCCTGGGCTACGCAGCAAGGTCAAGGCTGTATAGTGAGGCCCTGTCTTAAAAACAAAACAATAGACCAGGCGTAGTGATCCACACCAGTAATCCTACCTACTTGAGGCAAAAATCAGGAGGACAGTGGTTCAGAGCCAACTTGGGCAAATAGTTTGTCATACTCTACTCAAAAATACCCATCACAAAAAGGGCTAGTGGAGTGGCTCAAGGTGTAGGCCTTGAGTTCAAACCCCAGTACTGCAAAAAAAACAAAACAGAACAACAACCAAAAAAATCATCATACTATTAGATTGTTTTGATTTTTTTTTTTTTTTGATTTATTTGTTTTTTGCAACAAGATCTTGCTATGTAGTCCAGGCTGGCCTCAACCTCTTGATTCTTCTGCCTTAACATCCTGATTGCTGGAATTACAGGCATGGACAACCATGTCGAAAAAGAAGAGTTATTTTGTTTTTGTTTCATTTTTGAGACGCGCCTCAACCTCTAGGGCTTAAGTGGTCCTCCTGCATCAGCCTCCTGAGTTGCTGGGACTCAAGGTACACAAGACCTCACACTTGGCCATTTTTGAAGTTTCACAGGTACCGTCACCTATATATGCTTATGTGCCTGGCTTTTGCAGTGCTAGACAATAAACCCCAGGCCTTGCACATGAGCAGCACCCCAACCTGAGCTGGCCTCAAACCTCAGTCTTTCCGATCTCAGCCTCCCAAGTACCTAGGATTATCGATGTGAGCCACCAGCGCCCAGCTTATGTAGTTTTGGGGGGTTTTTTTGTTGTTTTTTTTTTTGTTTTTGGTAACACTGGAGTTTGAACTCAGTGCCTCATGGTTTCGAGGCAGGCACTCTACCACTTGAGCCACTCCGCCAGCTCCAGCTTACATAGTTTTCTTCTCAACTGTCAGCTGAGTTTCCAGAATGCTACCAGTACAGTTTGAAAATTCTTATTTTACCCTAGTCTTACATTATTATGGATCTTACTCTTTCTTACTTTGATTCTAGCAACATTTAAAAATATGAATGCACTAAGAAGTTAGAATATCATTGAAGGATGACATGAATGAAAAACTAGTTCATCATGTCATACCTAAACATTCCAGTTTCATCTACTTGTTATTAAAATCTAGTAGTGGTTTCTTTCTTTTTTTTTTTTTCCTTTTTTTCTCTTTATTTTCTTTATTGTTGTTTGAGAGTCTTGCGTTGTAGACAAAGCTTCCTTGAACTCTTTATTTTTTCAGTAGGCAAGTGGTGTCCATTTTATTATTTCTTGTTTTTTTTTTTTAATCATTTTCACATTTACTCACATGTGTATAGATTGAATTCTTGATCCTTCTGCCTCACCTTCTGGAATGTTGAATTATAGGCACATGCCACCTTGCCTGACTAAGAAACAGCTTTTTTTTTCTTTTAAATTCTTGGCAGTACTGGGGTTTTGAACTCTAGGCCTCATGCTTGCTAGGCAAATGAGCTACCACTTCAGCCATGCCCCCAGCCCTAAGAAAGATTTCTTAATTCCAACTTAATATCTTACCTTGGTATTATTATTATTTTTTTTCCCAGTACTGGGGCTTGAACTCAGGGCCTTCACCTTGAGCCACTCCACCACCCTTTTTTTTGTGAAGGGTTTTTTGAGATAGAGCCTTGAGAAACTATTTGCCTGGGGTGGCTTCAAACCATGATCCTCCTGATCTCTGCTTTCTGAGTAGCTAAGATTGCAGACATGAGCCACCAGTGCCCAGTGATATCAATCATCTTATTTTATTTATTTATTTGTTTATTTTGAGATGGTCTTGCTTCATGGTGTGAGCTGTTCTGGAACTTGCTATGTAGCCTAGGCTGGCCTCAGATCAATCACTTTTAAAGCATATTGAAAGGCTTATTTTCTGATGCTTTGTTAAATAAAATTTGTAAAAATGTCTTACATTTAACAAAATAATTTTCCTGTTTTTTTTTTAGATTCTTTTTTTCCCTACTTTCTCTTCCTTCCCTCTTTCTCTCCCTCACTCCCTTCCTTCCTTCCTTCCTTCCGCAGTGTTGAGGATCAACCAAAGCAAGTGCTCTATCATTGAACTTCATTTCCAGCCTTTGACGAGGTGTTGCTCTATAGCTCAGGCTGGCTTTGAAACCTTTGTGTAACCTAGGCTTACCTTCAATTTTAATCCTCTTGCCTCAGCCTCCCAGATGCTGGGATTATAGAAGTGCACTACCATGCCCAGCTTAAACTGTTTAGTAACATTTGTATAAAATGTATATCTATTCTTCTAACTTTATTTTGCGTTCTTTACAGGGTTTCAGACAAAATCAAAAAGAAGGGAAGTGTTCACATTTTAATTGATGAGTAAGTCTGCTGTCATAAAATGAATTTTTTGTATAAATTTTAGAGTGTAGAAAACAAATTATTTGAACATTTAAAATAGATTAGAATGTTGGTAGAGCATTTGCCTAGGAAATTGAAAAAAACTGAAATGTTGAAAAGTTAATGACAAACCATACTAAACACTTTTTTTTGTGGATGTGTTCTGGTGTTGGAGCTCAGGGCCTCACGCTTGCTAGGCAGGTACTGTACCACTTGAACCAGCTTGGGCTTTTTTTGACATAGGGTCTCAAACTGTTTACGAGGCTGGCCTTGAACTGTGATCCTTCTGATCTCCACCTCCGAGTAGCTAGGATTATAGTTGTTAGCCACCAGTGCCTGGCTCCATATTAAAGACATTTTGATGCCAAAACTATTAGATAGTACTCCCAGCTACTCTGGAGGCAGAGACAAGAGGATCAAGGTTTGAAGCAAAACCTTGCCAATAAAAAAAAGCCAGCAAGACCCTGTCTCAGAACAAGTTGTGCATGGTAACTAACTCACATCTATAATCCCAGCTACAAGGGACATGAAGGTAGGAAGATCGCAGTCCCAGGCTAACCTGGGCAAAAGTACAAGATCCTGTCTGAGCAAACACTAAAAGCAAAAGGACTGGGAGCATGGCTCAAGTGCACTGAGTTTAAATTCAAGCTCTTGTACCAGGGGGAGACAATTAGATAAATCAGTCTGTGTCCCCACTAGAATTTCCATGTGTAATGTGTCATCTCACCAAATATTTGGTAGTTTGTTTGGGTAAATAAAACATACTTCTTCTATAAGAAGAGACTGTTGTAAAAATTGACCAGCATCAGTGACAGGACATAGTTTCTGGTTTATAATGCAACATTAAGTGCACTGTATTACTAATGGAGTGTTTTTATCAAAAATGTTTAAATGGAATTTTATTATTTCTTTATTTCTAATTTCCCATTTGCTGAAAAACCTGGGAATAAAGCAACAAGTTAAATTATTTAATACCACTAAAGGACTAGAATATGGAATGTAACAAGATAGCTAGCTTAATTTCTTTAAAGTATCTGTCAGGAAAGAAAAAGGGATGTACAGCAGGTAATTATTTTAGATTATAAGTTAATTAAGAGATATAATTGGGACAGGTGAGTGGTGCACACCTGTAATCCCAGCTACTAGGGAGGTGTATGTAGGAGGATTGTAGTAAGATCAGGAGGTTTGTGGTTTGAGGCCAGCCCAGGCAAAAAAAAAGTTTGTAAGACCCTATTTCAAAATATAAAAACTGGGCACACTTGTTCTTTCTTGTCATCCCACCTGTGCAGGAAGCATAAATAGGATCACAGTCAGTGCTGGCAGGGCATAAGCAGCAAGACCCTATTCAAAAAGTAACTAAAGCAAATAGGGCTGGAGGTGTGGCTCAAGTGGCAGAGCACATGCCTACCAAGCAAGCTCAAGGCCCAGAGTTCAAACCCCCAGTACTGCAGGAAAAAAAAAAAAAAAAAAAGGTAAAATTAGCTAGAATTAGTTAGGTGTGTGTCATTTTATTCCCTGGTTTGCACATTATTTTCTTGTGCTGGGGATTAAACCCACAGTTTCATGGGTGTGAGGCCAGTGTTCTAACTGAGCTATATCTCAACACTACTTTACACTTTTTGCCATGTGTATGTATACATATTTGTTTATTTTGTTTTGAGGTTCTGGAGATCAAATCTACAGCCTCAGACATGCTAAGCAATCATTTTACCACTGAGGTGTATATATCCTCAGCCCTCATCTCCATTTTGAAATGTATACCATCAAGGCATTTTATGTGTGTCCCCACTTAAGTTGTATTTTCTGAGGATAGCCTAGGCAAATAGTTCATGAGACCCCATCTCCAAAATAACCAGAGCAAAATGGACTGGAGGAGTGGCTCAAATGGTAGAGCATCAGATTTACGAGTTCCTGCCTTGCAGCAGTTAAGCCCTTTATTGCAGTGATTTTATAAGATTAGCTTTTTCTGCATTATTAATATTAACACAAACTATATGGTTGTGTTTCATGTCTTGTAGAGTTTGAAGCTCTTGTTAAATGGAAAAACAATGGTTGCAGTTCAAAAAATTAATGAGCAACTCCTGCTTCTGCAGAAATCCCATTTTTTTTCTTTTTTAGGTTTTTTTTTTTTTTGCAGTACTGGGGCTTGAACTCAGGACCTACACCTTGAGCCACTCCACCAGCCCTTTTTTGTGATGAGCTTTTTTGAGATGGGGTCTCAAGAACTGTCGAGAACTGTTTGCCTGGGCTGGCTTCGAACTGAGAGGCTCCTGATCTCTCTCCTGAGCAGCTAAGATTACAGGCATGAGCCACCAGTGCCCAACAGAAGTTCCATGTTTTATATAAGCAATCTGTAAAAGACATTCAATGTTCAGCTATCTCCCTGGACATTGGGTCGTTTTTATGTGTGAATCATGGCCCTCAAGAGAACTGAAGAACATTTGTGTACAATGTGCACTTTTTCCCTGTATTTTTTGAGGTATAATTATAAAATACATAAATTTAAAGTTTACTTGTTGGTGTGGTGGTACATGCTTATATTTCCAGCTACTTGGGAGGTGACCGTAAGAGGGTCAATGAAAAGGATTGAGGGGATTGGCTCAAGTGTTAGAGCGTTTATCTGCAAGCATGATTCCGTGAGTTCACTTCCCATTACTGCTAGAGAGAGAAAGAGAGACAGATGTTTCATGGGCTGATGGAGTGGCTCAAGTGGCAGAGTGCCTGCCTAGCCCGCATGAGGCCCTAAGTTCAAACTCCAGTGCTGCCAAAAAACAAAAAAGAGACAGTTTGATAAGTATTGACAGTTAATATAAAAAATATTATCATCTATCCAGGGTGTCCCTTTGTGCCTCTTTCTAACCATTTGCCACACTTGTCCTGGCAGCCACTGCTCTGACCTCTGTGAGCAGAGTAATATGACTGTTGGCCTAAGGTAATCTGTATAGCATATAACAGACTTCTGGCTAAGAATAAATAAAACCTTATAGTCTCGGTTTCAAAAGTCTCTCAAGTATGTTTTAGTAGATTTGGGTTTTTCATTTTGGCAGTCCTGGAGTTTGAACTCCAGGCTTCTCACTTGCTAGGTAAGCATTTTACCTCTTGAGCCATGCCCCCAGCCTAGATTGGGGTTTTCCATTGTAAAGTAAACTCCGCAACTGCTGCATGAAAACTTTCTTCCTTGTTAAGTAATCAGATTTACTCTTTTTTTTTGAGACAGCATGTTATAATATAGCCTTAGGCTATCCTCAAACTCCCTATCCTGCCTCAACCTCCTAAGTGTTGGGTTACCAACGTGCTCCACCATGCCCAGCTACAAGTATTAATATTAACTATACTTTCTGAGTGACTACTGCATGCTAGATATAGTTTTTTTTTTATGCTTTCTTTGTATTTATTCATTTGTTTTTAATTGACAAATAAGAATTTATGGAGTACAACCTGATGCTTTTTTTTTTTATTCATATGTGCATACAATGCTTGGGTCATTTCTCCCCCTTGCCCTCACCCCCTCTCTTACCACCCACTCTGCCCCATCCCTTTCCCTCCACCCCCTCAGTACCTGGCACAAACTATTTTGCCCTTATCTCTAATTTTGTTGAAGAGAGAGTATAACATGCTAGATATAGTTATTTAAGCTTTATAATAGCCATCAGGTTAGCTACTGTTACCACATTTACAGATGAGAAAGATCACAGGTGAAATGACTTACATTGGACTGCATAGTGTGAATCCTGAGGCGTGTACAGCCTTGCACTGTCTCTTCAACCCTCAGCTCCCCTAGCAACTGCTGTTGCCAGGCCTGTGGAGATGCGTCCCACATACACACAATTTAGAAATTTGGGCAGGATCTACGTGGGATAGGAATCCTACTCAAATTTCTGCAACTCTCTTCAAGTACTTCCTTCTCTCCTCCCTCTGGCCTGCTCAGCACTCCAGCTGCCTCAGTCCAAGGCTTGAACTTGAGAAGAATCAGTAACTTCCCCAGCCCTCCCCAGGCTGCATCCTAGAAAGCCAACATCCAACCAGCAAATGGTGGCTGCCCAGGATTCACCTCAGCTGTTTCGTGTCTCAAAGATTCTGCCCTGAGCCTTCTGTAGTGTGTGTTAAAACGATCCCATTATGTATTGTGCCCAGTTTGGTAATTGTTGCATGTTTTCTAAAGCTTAGTCTGTTTGAGATAGTTTAAAAAAAAGTCTACAATGATACTGTTTTAATAGACCTCTCAAGTAACATAAAACGTTAACATCAAATTTGAAGTTTTTAATAAACAGTATTTCCACCTGACTATAATCTATTTTGGGCTTTGTTATCTTAGAAGTTCCACAGAAAATAATTTTGTATGATTGAATTAGTTTTGTGTAATGGTTTTAAATCCTAAGTAGGTACAATACATCATCACATATCATACTGCTCCCCAAAAAGAATAGTCTCTACCTG